GGGCTCCTCCTTCCTCTTGCAGGGAGAGAGAGGCGTGTCACGGCTGGATCCCCTTCCCCGCAGGAGAGGCCCAGTCACGGTCCTTCCCTGCCCGCTCCTCCGTCAGTCTAGGCCTCTGGCTCCCAGGCCTCTTTTCCCCGAGTTAATCTCCGAGACTGCGATTCCCAGAATTCATTGCGCCAAACCTGCATCATCCGGTCTCTCTGTCGCCGTTTCAGGCAGCTCCCTCGTTGCCCGTTTCTTTTCCGGAAGTGGAGGCTTCACGTCCTTTTTTCTGCAGAGGTTCTGCCTGTTCCTTTGAACGGACCGCCCAAGAAGTCCTCCTGCCAATCGCTGGCCTGTCCAGAGCGACCAATCGGCTTCCGCCTTCCTTCAAGCCAGAGGGCTCTTGCGCAGTACAGAGGATTGCTTTCCTTCCGTCCGCAGGTGAAGTGGTGGCCTCCTTTGAACACCTTCAAAGGAGAACCAGAAAGTCCAGCTGCCTCTTGAAAAATCACCTTTGGGACAACCATGACGTGGATGACGGAGAATCTCCGTAGACATTCGGGACATTCGGGAAGGAATATGCTGTGTTTGGACTTTGGAGGAGCTGGCAGAGTCTTCATTGGCTTCTATGTTATTTTTCTCCTTTTATTAAAGCGTGTCCTTGTGTAAATGTCATACATGCATCCATTCCCCACACTTGAAATAAGGTATTTAATTCTCGGGTCCGAGAAGCTGAAGCCTGAGGGCTAGAGGGGTGGTCAGTTTGGGGGATGGGGGCCAACAGCTTCTCCTTCATCATTCTCTGCCCCTGTTTTCAGGCCATGAGACTTGACTAGGGTCAGAATTATGAAATCAATGGCAAGTGTGGCCTGCAAAGGTGATAAGGATTCCTGGCAGCTCTTCACATCTAAGGGGGTTTCACATGAAACGCACCGTCTTGGCGAGAGAGGCCCTCGAGTGGAATCAGTGGAGGGTGGCTCCGTTTTTGAAGCGCGAGGGAGGGGGAGCAGAAGGGAGAGTATCCCCCCATGCTATCCTTGCAGCTGGCACAAGAAGGAAGGAAACCAAGGGAGATACCTTTGCCCAGGCCGTCCATTGGGAAGGAGGAACTGGTTCATCGCCTGAAAGGACCTCAAAGGGGACTCAGTGGGACCAGAGGCCCCATTCACACAACACGCTTCCCACTCCTGGCTTTGCACATCCTGAGTCCCAACTGGGTTCACAGGCTGACTGCAAGGAAAGTTAACCTGACACTAGCCAAGCTGAGCGGGCCATGCAAATGCAGCCATGAGGGCTTCCCTTCTTGGGAGTTGCATCTGGTGGGAAAACACCTGAGCTGTCATCAAGCCCTTCTCTCCCCAAGTAGGTCTTTTCCTTGTCTCCTTTGCAGGAGAGGATCATGGTTTCTCCATTTCCCCAGTAATCACCCCTGCGAGGTAGGGCAGCCTTTCAACTGCAAAATTAGAGATTGTGTTACTCTCTCTTGCCTCAATAGTTTAACTGGCATCACATCACCAATTATTTAAAAATTGTTTTATACATTCCTGTTGTGGCCCAGCAGGAGCCGTTGGTGCTGCCACCAGACTCCGACAGCGAGGAGCTGTATGAGTCGGCTTTGGAGGATGTGGAGGACCTTGGACAGGGTTCCAACTCCAAACAGGGCGCAGAGAGCTGGTTGGCCACCAGGAGGCACCTGAGCCTTGGACCAGTGGGGAGGAGACAAGGGAGAGTGAGCCAGCAGTGAGTTGTTCCTGGATGCACGGCACCGAAGAGCTACTAGGCGTCAGGAACAGTTTCGCAGTTACACGAGGTAATTGCACTCAACTGGTAGTCATAGTCTCCAGACTATAAAAAGACTGCTTGTGCACACACCCCTCTTGCAGAAGTCAACGCCTTGACTAAAAGTTGGACAACTTTGGTAATTAGCTTGGCAGGCTGGATTGTTGCCAAGGTTTGTCTGAGTTGCTGCCAAGGTCCTTATCTGTTTGTTATGCTTGGCTTTCAGCCACAAAGGTTTTGGTTTCTTGCTATTAAAGTACATTCCAGTTAAGCTTGTCTCGGCATTCGTTACTGGACGGAGGAGGGGGTCAGAACACATTCCTACATCACCATCGCAAATTTAATTCAGCCACTCAATAGTGCTGTGTTTCAAGGTATCTCTCAGCAGGGTTGGTCTACACCCCTCTGCCTCCTTTTCCTGGAAGAAGCCACTGGCATCTCGGTCTTTCTGTCTTGCCTGGAACACATCTGTCCCAACACAGCTGGTAGGCAAGAAGCCAAGGAAGGCAGATGTGTGGGTTGCAGTGTCCAAAGCTGCTTCCTTCCTGGTAGTTTCCTAGTGCCCATATGCAACTCTTCCCTCCAAAAAACTTTTTGATGCAGCTTTATTTTGTTTCATATAATCAATTTGGTTTCCTTACTAATGCTGATAGCTTAACAATGCATTGTTTGTTTCAGAGAACAGAAATCCCTGACAAGTGACTTATAAACATTATGGTTAACTGTGTTGGTGGCTCAGAGAAGGCTTGGCCTATTTTTCATCTCTGGGCAACCTTTCATTTGGGAAGAGAGAGAGGCTCCTTCTATATAAATCTCTCTGGTTGATTCCCTACACTACCTCTCACAGTTCCCCATCACAGAGCAAAAGCTCTCCCAAACACAAGGATCCAGGAATAGTAATAATTTTGGATATATTCTCCCCCCCCCCCCCGGGGGGG